CATGCAGGAAGCAATTGGATAGAATTTCGCATGGCCAATGCATTATTTTGGACATTCTAACTATATATGAATGCTTTTGGACATTCTAACTAGAGATGAATGCTTTTGTTTAAGTGATGAATTGTAATGAGTGCGAGCAAACCAAGAGATGTAAACTGTGCAACTAGTGCAAACATCTATATATGAGCTATGCATTATTCTATCTTGATGGCCAAACTGTCTTATGTAACTTGTTTCTCCAAGTTGAGCTTATGGATATGATATAATGATATAATTGTGAGCTATGATGAGCTTCATTGTCATAATTGTGTATATTGTCCAAAATGGAATTGATGATTTTATATATGGTTCATTGATTGTATGCTTAGTACTGATACTGAGGTTAATGAATAATTATGCTGTTAATTTTTTGTATTGATAGTGTCAGATAGTTGGATGCTATATAATATATAGCGTCTGACCAATAGTCGCTATGAGTATGTACTTAGCATCGAACAGTCGGTCGGTATATCTTTAACGTACCGTCGAACGGTCGGTCACTATAATTAAGGTCGGACGCTATAACTTATAGCGACGCCACTTATACCCACGCGTCAAGTCGGACGCTATATGTATATAGCGACCTACCGTAGGTCGCTGTACGGACTTATAGCGACCTACCGTAGGACGCTGTAGATAAGTTGTGGTATAGTGTAGGTGCTCGACGAGGAAAGAATGGTTTGGACATGGCCCTTCAAGTAGCTTCTTGAAGTGGTCCGGAGTACCCTCTGTGGGCTTTCGGCCCCCTTTGCGGTCGGCAGTGGCCACGAGCGAGCCCTCGTGCCACCGCTTGTTCTTCTTCTTGACGGGACGGTTGGAGGCGCCTTCGTCGGCGTCCTTGTCCCGCTTCGCCTTGCCTTTTAGGAAGTCAAAGATTGCTCCGACCGCCTCCTCCCCCGAGGCATGGCTGCTGGCAATGTCGAGGAGCTCTTTGGTGGTCCACGAACCCTTACGTCCTAGCTTGTGAATCTGGGACTCGCAGGTGGTCCTAGACAGGAAGGCTTCTATGACGTCGACGTCGACGACGTTGGGCAGCTCGTTGCACTGCCGGAAGAAGCGCTGGATGTATCCACGAAGGGTTTCTCCAGCCTTCTGTTGGCAGTTTTTGAGATCCCATGGGTTTCTAGGACGCTTGTACGTGCCCTGGAAGTTTACCACGAAGATCTCTTTCAGGTCCGCCCAACTTTGGATTTTGTTGGGAGAAAGGTGTTCCAACCATGTTCGCGTCGAATCGGTCAGGAACAATGGAAGGTTGCGGATAATGGAATCATCATTATCTGCTCCACTGGCTTAGCAAGCAAGCCAATAATCCTCGAGCCACAGTTCGGGATTTGTTTCCCCAGAGTATTTTGGGATGTTGGTTGGTGGTTGGTACCGTGGTAGGAAGGCGGCGTTGATGACGTGTCGGCCAAAGGCCTAAGGTCCTAGTAGGCCTAGGCTCGGGCTTTGGTCCTCGCTGTTGTCAAAGCGTCCGCCACAATGAGGGTGATAGCCATGGCTAGCTCCCTCTCGGATCGTCGTGGGCACGTCTACGGGCGTCGAGGGTGTCATGGTTGCGACCGAGACGCTCATGCACTGGGACCATAGTGCACTGCCTATCGCCTTGTGGCGCCTGGTGGACTAACGCATCCTTGTTGGGCCGCTCTGAGGGCGTGCGCTGGCTGGTGTTGAGCTCGCATCATCGAGACAGCTAGCTCTCGGCCTGTTGTGCCGCTGCACGCGCGAGCAGCGTGCGACTCTCACGGTGGGCCCGATGATCCTTAGGCGTCGCGGGCCCTGGAAGCTCACGGAGCAAGGCCACCGCAATAGCAGCGATGTTCTAGCTCGCCCGGGTGAAGTGTGGGAGGGCTTCATCATCCACGATGATCCTCCAGTTCACGTCGTGGGCCATGGCGCGCGCGCCCACCGTTTCCATGGCTCTCGAGCTCCCAATCGATCTCCGTGCATTCTTGCTTGAGCTGGAGTCGTGCTTCCTCGAGCTCTAGGTGCTGGGCCTTCAGCTACTCCACCCGCAGGTGGGGTGGGGCCCCTGTCTCCCCCTCACCCTCATCGTCAAGGTTGTTTGTTGGGGTAGCCTCCTCTTTGTGAATGCTTTGACGTGTCCCTCGGGGGTACCTGCCATAAAACACTCATGAGAGGGGTGATGACTCCCCCTACTGGAGTCAGAGTCGAAGGACGACTCCGATTCTCCCGTGAGGAGGTCATGGAAAGACTTCGCGACATATTCGGTCATCCCCATGAACTCATCGTTCGCGAGGGATGGAGGCATGTTTTGCACCATAGGGTGGCCATCGGTCTTTGCGGCGTTGCGAAGACTAAACAGGAGCACTGTCAGGCGCTCCGGGTGAGGTATTCTAGAGAGAGCGGCTCCCCTCTGGCAAGTTGCGCCATGACGTTGGTGAACGAGAAGGTGAGGTGGCGTAGGTCCTCCTAGGGACGGCCGGGGTCCTAGGAAGATGCCGACCTGGCACTCTAGCCTCCCGTAGTTGAAGTTGAGGAGCTAGTCGCTTCCGAGGGCGCGGGCCTCCGGTGCGCGTAACTACAGCTCCTCAAGCGCCTCGGTGATTGTGTCGAGGCCAGTGGAGTGAAGAGGTCAGACGATGGCGAGAGCCATTGCCAACTCTTCCTCCATCGTGACGGTGAAGTCTAGGTCCCCAAAACGCATGTGCGCGCCAGGTACCCAGCCGAGGTTGTGACTAGCCATCCGAGGCCTGGTGTGGACGTCGAGGCACGCAAAAGGCCCCTACCTAGCACGCCAACTGCCGGTGTTTTGAGTTGCCACCAACAAGTAAATTTCTAATATTACGCGTCTGGCTCGGATAGTGTACTAAGAGGACACGAGGTTTATGCTGGTTCGGGCAGAATGTCCCTACATCTAGTTCGTTGCTGCTGCTTGTGTTACTAGCACTGAAAGTTTATAGTAGGGGTTACAAACGGTCGAGAGAGGGACAGGTCCCAAGTCTCTGATGAGAGGAACGATGGGTGTCGAGAGTTCAATCGCTTCCCGGCTGTGTGCTTATGTGTTCTAATCAGTTCGGGGTTCGAGTTTGAATCGGTGTGATGTGTTTCGATACGATCGATTCGAGCTTAGTCGAGTCCCCTTTCGTGGGATGCCCTGCTTTCCCTTTTATAGGCCAAGGGAAAGCATGGGTTACAGTCGAGGGAAGAGGGGAGAATGAGAAGGAGAAGAAGACCTCCAAGATCGCTGGGCTCTTCTTTTCCTTCACGTGGGTCCCGCTGACCCTGTAGACATCAACATGGATGGCTCCACGTTGTGGCCCTGTCCATCAATGGCGCCATGCGCAGGTGTTGTCTCCCGATCATGGCGTTCCACTCTGTCCTAGTGGACGTCGTGGTGAACTGACACGCCTATCAGTGCCCGTACGAGGGTTAGGCAGAATAGTACCGGTATGCTCGACACTGTTCCTGATGCGAATCCCTAGGCATGGCCCGTCATGGCCATGGGTTAAATCGGGGCGTGCCAGTTACCTTCCTGGTGTCAGAGCTTTGACCCAGGCCCATACGCTTGGACCTAGAGTGGTTGGTGATGGTATGGGTCTCCATCGGGCGAGACGGATCCCCCGGCCTTGGGGTCGGGCAAGGCGGAGCCCTTGGCCTCAGGGTCCAGCGAGGCGGAGTCCTCCCCCAGAGGTCGGGCGAGGCAGAACCTGCGCCCTCGGGGTCGGGTGAGGCGGAGTCCTCTAGAGGCCGGGCGAGGCAGAAGCAGCCCTCAGAGGTCAGACGAGACGGAGCCCGTAGCCTTAGAGGTCGGGCGAGGTGGAGCCCGCAGCCTTAGAGGTCGGGCGAGGAGGAACCAATCCTCAGAGGTCGGGCGAGGCGGAGCTTGCGCATCTGGGGGTCGGTTGGAGTTGTAGTCGCGCCCTTGACCGCTCGGATGTATCAATGTTGATGGTTATTAGCTCCTCTTCGGATACCCTAGTATTGGTCCCCGACAGCGAGTTTCCTTGAAACCAACATGTACCATGCCCCCTTCTCCCTCTCCTCCTTTGTGATGACCATTAGGTATGGAGTCATTAAGGTGTTGTTTGCTTAGCAAGTGTAAATGCAAACGGTAATGGAATCTAATTGCACTGCGACAGTAAGTGATGTATTAAACCACGGTCTTTGTTTGGTTCTAGTCAGTTATGGAATCAGAAATGCTTTCACTTACTCTCGCTCCTCGCCATCGTGCGGCTTCTTTAGCAGCTCTTGCACCCACATGAAGATGCAGAAATTCAGAACGCTAGTGCATTGTCCTAGCTGGTTTTCAGTGGTGCTACTACACTATGACAGTATCATAATGAGCCCCATACAATCTGTTGACATGCTTGCCTTACACACTTCTCCGTTGTCTCTCATACAAGTTTTGTCCTTAGGCTAGTTTTAGTATGTGTTTTATGAACATTAAATAAGCTACCAACTTAGCAAATATATGTTGACCTGGCACCATATAAATAAAGAGAAAGATGACCAAAGTTTTATGAGGTGAAATGAGTTTCACCGGATGAAACTAGTCTACACCATTTTCAACACAGGAGAGTATTAAAAATTGAGAGATGAAACCTCCACTGAGTCTGACCTTAGGATAAGGAATTAATGACAACTATTACCACTACACTGGCATAACTCAGAAAACCTAGAGCCTATTAGAAGTAACTTATCTTGTACTACACGTTCACCATGCATGATTGTAATGTGCTAGCGATAACCTTCCATGCGCTATTTTAGGAGAGTCCTGCTATGATTAGAAGATAGGATAAGAATAGTTGATGTAATCCCTAGAAATCAGGACTCTCCTCATGGCGCACCATGGTTCTCGCATCTCTATAACCTCTCGCGTCAATTGACGCTTATATAACTTGGAACCATCGTGGCCAAGGGCTTAAGCGACGTTAACACCATGTGAGTTGCCCTCTGATTTTCAATATGGTATCTAGAGCCTGAGAGACGTATCCGCCTCCATGTCTACCTCGTCTACTCTCCCATCCTCCTCCCTCGTTGTTGGTGCGATCACAGAGAAATTGACACGCACGAACCACGCCATATGGAAGGCGCAGGTTCAGTCGGCGGTCCACGGTGCCCAGCTATACGGTCATCTGACGGGCGCCGCCATCAAGCCAGCGGAGCAGATCGATGACAAGGACGGCCACAAGGTCCCGAACCCGACGTTCGTGGCGTGGGATGCAAAGGATAATCAAATCCTGGGCTTCCTCTTCGCCTTGGTGTCCAGGGAAATCATGATTCACATCGCCAAGTCGAAGACGGCAGCAGAAGCCTGGCGCTGCATAGAGGCCTTATTCGCCTCCCAAACGCGCGCCCACGTAGTCAATCTGCGCATTGCCCTCTCCACAACCAAGAAAGGTAATCTATCTGTTGCTGACTATTTCACTAAGATGAAAAGTTATAGCGACAACATGGCGGAGGCCGTCCGGTCCATCACAGATGATGAGCTGGTAGAGTACATTCTCACTGGCCTTGGACCGAAGTTCGAGTCACTGGTGTCTGTAACAGAACCGACCAAATCATAAGAACGTAAGTACAAAAACAATCAACGAAGCGATCAAATTCCTGTACTTAAGCTCCCATAATCCCGGTAGTCCGGAAATCACGAAGGATTTCAACCAACTCTCGACATACAAACCAAGATCGTAATGATTCAACACAACACATCATCCGTTACAACATTTCACAAGTAGCATTCGGATTACATCCATCAGAGTTCAAATAAAATATTACAAACCAAGTTTGAGTGTGCGGAAGCAATATAGTTTAGTACAAAACATCATAGTTTTCAAATACATTGCCAAGGTTGAGTCATGTCCCACAAAAGCATTATCAGGTACGAGAACTAGTAGAGACCGCGCCCAACGGTCTAGTCTTCATCCCAATGAGGAGAGAAGCGTGTACTTGCAGACAACCAAAGAAGAACTGGTCATCCGCAGCGGTGGGAAATAAACCACGAGTACGAGAAGGTACTCACTAGACTTACCCGACAAAAATCGAAATAAAAGACACCAAGGATCATGCAAGGCTTTTGTGGGCTAGCTTAAGCTTGACTCGGTTGCATAAAAGAGCTTATGAGTATAGTAATCGGTTTAAACTTATTATCAAGCTTATCATTACTTACATGTCCACTAGATTAGTACTGTACTAGAGCACTCACTTATTAGGAGCAAACAATATTAACCATATATAGGTATAATAAAATTTGTCATCATCATATCATCATTTCCGAACCATTAAGATATTAAGTATCTACATTGGAGATAAGCCGTCAAGTTCTCACTACTTGGAGAGGCACGTGACTCGAATCGAATTACAACTCGGTGAGGGGTATTCCTAACTCTCACCACAGCATACTTTGCAAGGGTAGCCGTGGGTCACCTTTGGAACATCTCAGAACCAAATTCATTGGTTCGATCGGCCAAGACTCTCGAGGATTACCCATACGCTGGGGACGATTAGGACTTTTAAATCACCGCCCTTGGACTCACGCCACGGCTCCCTCCCTTCCGAGGCGCACTTTATACTTATCGACTCTCGGCTGAGGTGAGCTACTCGGCCAGCATGTCGGTCATCGGACACGACCAACTAAGAGAGAGGCATGCGTTCAACATGAGCAGAAAGGCTCCAAGAATCGGGTCCTTAAGAGACACAGATTTGAGTCTTCGCAAACCCAAGCAAGCCTCCGTCCGGTCTTCATTTCAAATTAAGATGGTTCTTTTCCACGATAGCAAATATAGCCAACCGTGCCACATGTATCTTCCTATATCTCGCGGTGTGTGAAATCACCCGACTTCTACCGTGTTTAAGCGGGGCTAAGCACTACTCGAGCTGAGCTACATAGGATTGTGGTAACAATATCTGGATAAGGAATGGGTAACCAATGCGACAAGTGTTTGCATCCAACACCTAAACTTAATGCAACAATATATATAATAATAATACATCAGAATCGCGATTCGGAAAATAGGAGGCTTAATATAAGGGCTTGCCTTTCACAAAGTTGCAAGGGCGGTGGTCGGGGCACTCAACGGCGACCTCGTCTCGGTACTTCTCCCAAGGTCTGCTCCTCCACGAATCTCCGTGTCGTCATCATTGCTGCTCGTTCGGGCCTCAATTCCAATAGAGGTTACTCCTTCCGGTACACCTATTGCATGCCGATGCACAAGATAAATATCATGGATGCATAAGGAATGACATGATGCTCATGATGAATGAATCACAATGGGTGTTTATGAAAACATCACTGGACACTCGTTTACCGAGTAATTAGCTCTATTCAAATCACTTTAAGCATGTATCCAACTTAACTTAAATAACAAGAGCAACTTACCTAACTTGCATAACCTAAGATAAAGATGCTCATCTTCAGTTAAAGACCTAACACCTAAGAACATTACCACAACTTAGAATAATAAAGGTATACATCATTTAACATTTAAGTTTCATATGCATACAAGTAGTCCCTTAATTAAATCACAACTAAAGTTCTACAATTCCAAATGACTTGCATGAGGACATTCTGGAAAGCTTATGAAATTCTCTACAAAACATTTGTAAACATCAAAGCATGATTCTTATGTTAACTAAATCTATTTCCAGCAAACCTAGAATCTGTCCAGAATGACGGGGTTACTAACTTAATTATTTAAGGATTGTGCAAAAGCATACTTTGATCAAACCAAGTTTACCAACTTGTTTTGCATACCTAATAAACATCAGAAAGTATAGTGTCAACTTCTAAATAAATTATTTAATACCCTTTTCTAATTTATCTAGTTAATTAGGTGATTAAAGCAATATATAGTAAAACTATTCAGAAAAATCTACAAAAATTACAGTAGCTATCTCATGCTTCACATAGACTACCATAAAAATTTCAAAGCCTTTGAGTAAGTACAACAGTCTACACAAAAATGATAAGGCATACTGGCTTAAAATGGCATAATTAAGAAATCCTAATGAAAAGTGTCAAGCAACAGATTTCACATTTTTCCTAGCATCATTCTAGCATAAGAATAGTACTCACCAAATTTTACCTTTACTGGATCTATAGAAAAATTATGAAAATTCACACAAGATCCACCCATTAATAAAAAGAAATTTTATAACTTAAAACTACACATGCACTAGCTCTGAAATTTTAACCAGAGACTCTACTAAACCAAAATAGAGGACCCACAAAATTTCATAATTTTTGGACCACAGAAACTCAAGATAAAATTCAAACAAGTTTGCATGCTTTCTAAAAACACAATTCAAACTCCTATTTAATTCATCCAATTTTTCTAAAACATGTGCTCATATACTATTTTTGTTAAATACTAGACAATACTAGGAACTCAACAAAATTAGAACCATAGCATTTGGATCTATATACTAGGAGCTACATATTTTTCAAGATGTACATAAATCTGTGAAAATAAAATAAACAAAACAAATCAGAAAACAACTCAGCCACAGTTGGGCCAGCCCACGTAATTGGCGTGCCCCATGAGCTCACTGATCGCGGCCCAAGACGACTGGCCTGCCCGAGCTGGACTCCGCCTCAGCGTCGAGAGATGACGAACGGGCCCGCTTCGTCGTCGAAGGAAGCAGGGAGGGCGGCGGCGGTGGCTTAGTTCGCCGCCGGTGGTTTTTTTCCGACGAACTCGACGGCAGCACCGTCGTGTTCCCCCACACATGCGCATCTAGAGGACCCATCTATTGCAACGATTGCAGCAGCTAGAGGGGTGGCGGCGAAACGGCGGCGCACGGAACGCTGACACGTCCGGCCCGGCGAAAGGCTACGGGCGCTTTGCCCTAACGGTTGACACTCGACGAAGCGGTGTTCCTAGGACCTAGCGCGAGGCGAGGAGGAGGGGTGGAAAGGCGCGAGGACAATCGGCGCGTGGGCGCCAACTCCGGTGAACTTCCGCCATGGCTACGGTGGGGAAGAACGGCGAATACGCCCTACCGAGGCTCGATTGACCGGTACCGAGAGGTGGAGGAGGTGGAGGAGGTCACGGAGAGGCTACAAAGCGGACGGGCAGAACGCGTTTCAGCGGTGGCGTCAGCAAGACGGCATTGCTGCGATGCTTTCGGTCGGCAATGGCGGGCGGCTTAGCTCTCGACGGCGTGCGGTGGTGGAGGCGCGAAAATGTGAATGGGGGCGGTGAGTCGTCGGACAAAGCGCTGGTGGCTTGGCGCGCGTCTGTGGCGCCAGAGGCGACGCAATGGCGTGGCAATCATGACGACAAGCCGGCGATGAGTGTCCCCCACGCGTCGGCTGAAATCTGAAATTTGATCACTGTAGCGTCGATTCAGTGTTCCATTCCGAGCCTGACAGCGCGACTTCAACACCTTATTACGGCTAATCCAATGCCCCTTTGCAAAAATGGTGTACGTGAAAAATGTAGATGTATGGTAGGACTACATCTTTGATTTAGAAATCAACAACTCATTCGATCTGGATCAGAAGTTATATGAAGCCCAAGTTGGCCTGATCTAACTGAAATGCACCATGACTTAGGATATTTTTCTAAGTGTTGAAAACAGCATGTATTTCTGACTTGTGGGCCATGTTTGACCATGTTCTAGACCTTTTCATGAGTTGACCATAAAACAACTTTTGTTCCTTGATAAATTAGCTACAACTTTTGTAAAGAGTGCACAGCCATGCAAAGCTTCTAAGTTGGACTTTTGAATCAGTCAAACGAGGACACTCCATGGGTCAAATTAAGTCAAACTTGCACTTGAGGGCATTTTGGTCATTTTGGTCTACATGAACAATGTTCCAACAAGTAAACTAAGTATAGTTAAGGTGTATTAGACCATGATCACCCATTTTACAAAGTTGTTATACCACTTCTACTGATCACATGTGATAAAGAAAGTAAAACAAGCAATTCATACATATGTTTCAATACAATGTTTCACATGTTGCATGACCTTGTTGTTATCCTATACTTGTCACATTACTACCATGTTGCCATGCTTCAAGACATGAGAAATTTATGTTGCATTCATATGTTGCACTACTACCATTCACAAGCAATCCAGTACGAAACAAACAGAATATGCGAATGTTTCATATGTATGTTTCAGGGAAAATGACATGATGAGATAGATGATGCACATGTTTATGAGACAAAATGCAATTAGTAGAAGCCAAACACCGAGGGTGTTACAGTGTCTGCCCTCATTGCCAGGGTGGAACCGGTATCCCTCGACGAGCTGTACTCGCAGATGCTCACCTTTGAGACCAGACAAGATCTGGTCCATGGAGGTGACCAAAGCTCGGCCAACATGGCTAGCCGTGGTGGTGGCTGCGGTTCACACCATGGTCGTGGCGGCAACCAGCATGGTCGTGGTTGCGGTCCCCCTAACAACAAGGGTCGTGGTCGCGGCTCCTTCGGCTCCAACAACAACCCGCGTCATGAGGGGCAGAGTACTGGCCGTGGCAAGGACA